AAGTCGTAAAGTGAACGCGTTGGGAATTACATTTAAGTAGAGTAAATTGTGAAAGTTGATGCAAGTGATTGTAGCTAGTAAAGTGTCTTGTGATTGAATTGTGAATCACTGAGTAAATAAAGGACATTAGATAGAATCTTTATAAAGAAAGAAACTGCAAATTAAGTTGGCGAGTTTTATTTAACAATCCAGAGATCGTACCCGAAGGATTCAGGAAATCATCGAGGTTGATTTAGTAAAATCGTAACAATATTATTTCGTTTCGCACAAAAGTTATCGTTAATATTAATTTTGAAATGGCTGAAAAGCTATGATATTAGTTGCGTTCGTTGGAAAACTTCAGTAAAACCAGCAAGTATTGAAGTTGAGAGAGCAAGACGTTTTACTCTCCGAAGGAAAGAAATTTACTGAGTTTTCAACGGAAAGGATCAAGTAAAAATTAGCCAGCGAGTTGTACAACAGCTGTTTATTTAGGCGGTGAATTTTGAATTCTTTCAGTTATACAGATTAATATTTCTAATTTTAAAGTATTTTCCTGAGTGTTTTAATAAAATTGGCAGTTATGTGACATTTTAAAGTTATTAACTATATTCAAAATTTATTTTTCCTAATAGCCCCCTAAAAGGACGAAGATTTATGTAAAACTTCCTTTACAACAATTTGTTGCTTCGATTTTCAGTAAGATTAATTGAAATACGAAAATAAGTTTGAAATTCTTTTTCCGTGTAAGCCGGCCATATTAACTCAACGTTATTATAGAGTTTATTCGATTCTGTTTCAACAAAAAACAAGCAAAAGCTTCATTTTTCCTTTGAAATGCTACTTATATTTTATTTTGTGCATCGTCGTCACTTCCGGGAGATTAAGAATACATTATCCTCATTGTGCTCGTAGAAGCAACTTTGCTTCAAATTTGTTATGCGGCTCCTTTGGTTGGTAAATTACATAAAGCCAAAACCAACTGTTGTACTAGATACTAGAAATAATAAATAATATATTCTAATTCTATGCATTCTTCCTAACTGCTAATTTCTCAACGGAAGCTGGCTGCTGTGCGGGCGATGATTCCACTCCACTGCCATCACATTATCGTTTAACGAGTGCCTTTACTATTGTTGGAATCGTTGATATTGTTCAGTTAAATTATACAACATTACATTTAACCATTTATTTTGTTGGCATATAATTCATACTAAAGAAACAAGATTATTTTAACTCGAAATCAATTTTGTTTTGTTGACGAAAATTCAATCAAAGGATCACAAATCAGCTGATTTTCATACTT